ATATATTTCTGTGATGCGCAGCTGTATTTTCAGCATCATTCCTCCAGTCTTCAGTGTCACATGATCTTCAGAAATCAGTATAATATGCTGCTTTATTATCAGTTGTGCTGCACAATATTGTTTTGGAAACTGATACTATTTTCAGGATTCTTTGATGAATAAAATGTTAAAAAGAAGAGCATTTATTCAAAATATAAATCTTTTCTCACAATATACACTAGCGTGTAAAAGTTTGGGGTCGGTACATTTTTATTCTTTCTTTTTTTGAAAGAAATTAAAACTTTTATTCAGCGAGGATGCGTTAAACTGTTAAGAAGTGACAGCAAATATTTATATTGTGAGAAAAGATTTATATTTTGAATAAATGCTCTTCTTTTTAACTTTTTATTCATCAAAGAATCCTGAAAATAGTATCAGTTTCCAAAACAATATTGTGCAGCACAACTGATAATAAAGCAGCATATTATACTGATTTCTGAAGATCATGTGGCACTGAAGACTGGAGGAATGATGCTGAAAATACAGCTGCGCATCACAGAAATATATTATATTTTGAAGGATATTAAAACATAAACCATTATTTTATATTGTAATAACATTTTGCAAGATTACTGTTTTTTTTCTCTATTTTTGATCAAATAAATGCAGCCGTGATGAGCAGAAGAGACTTCTTTAAACACATTACAAGTCTTACTGATCCCACACTTATGACCAGTAGTGTGTGTGTGTGTGTGTGTGTGTGTGTATATATATATATATTAATACAATAATACTTCATCTTTATAATGCAGTCATACATATTTATAACAATAACAACAATCGCTACATTTAATTTGAATGCTTTATCTGCAGTCTGATGAAAACCCTTCGTCTTTGAAGCCCTGGGCCTTCAGTCCGGCGGTGGAAGGGGTTTCACAGCCTCAGGTGGTCTTCCTTCAACCCGTCGTCCCGCAAAGATCTGCCCCGGTGCTGAAGGGACCCCCGTCTAAACACCGCCGGCACAGAAAGTACCTCCCAATCCTCAAATCCTACCCCAGAATTGCTCCTCATCCCGGAGATGTGCGGCCTAAGAGCAGCGGCAGCGGCTCCAGCTCGTCTTCCTCTCGCGGTCAGAAAGACTCGTTACCCAGCGCTCTTACTGCCAAACGCACACCCCAATCCCGGACGCTGGCGTCTGATGCACACTCGGACAACAAGATAAAGCGCTTCTGCAACACGTACAACATCCTCAGCACGTCAGGCCTGCTGGACATCACGCTGCGCACGAAAGAGTTGATCCGGCAGAACCGGCGGACGCAGACGGAGCTGGATCGCCTGCGCGAGCACACCAGCCTGTTCATGGAAGCGCTGCAGACGGGAGACTCGGCCATCTGGAGCAAGCTGCGGACGAGCGTGCAAGAGGAGGACAAAGAGAAAGACAGGACTGTCAACCTGAAGTGAGACGAAGACACGATGCAGTTATACATGCAACTTTTGTCTGACTATATCTTAAGGTGTGCGTTCACTCTTTAACAAGCCTTAACCATAAGCTCTTTACACTCCTGCTGTCATTTTCAGCTCTTGAATTTTCAGGACTCTCGAACTGAAACGTTAACGTCAGGCCTCGTTTGTAAAGCACAAGAGCAGATTCTGTCTCAAAACGAGCTGCAGATCTACAGTAGATAGAGAGACGCAGATCGAGGATGTGGCACAGCGGTCTCGTTTCTTTTCTCACAGCAGTAATTATGAGAGATGGATCATTACAGACCGTCTGTTCGCATCGTCTGCTCCACGATCCTCCATCATGGTTCTGTGATTTTATGAAGTCGCGTAGGATCTTGTGCTTAAAAAACACAAACGTCAGAATGAATCAGGTTTCTCAGAGATGCACAGCTCATATGTGTCCCTGCAGCACAAAAGCAGTGTTAAGTCGCTGGGGATATTTGTAGCAATAGCCAACAATACATTGTATGGGTCAAAATTATACATTTCTCTTTTATGCCAAAAATCATTAGGATATTAAGTAAAGATCATGTTCCATGAAGATATTTTGTAAATGTCCTACCGTAAATATATCAAAACTTAATGTTTGATTAGTAATATGCATTGCTAAGAACTTCATTTGAACAACTTTAAAGATGATTTTCTCAATATTTAGATTTCATGTGCTGATACAAGCATTAGAGGAAGGTCTTCTGAAAGTGTTTTCAAGCGTGTTCATGTGATGTTATTCGGTGGAAAGATAGAAATGTTAACTAGCAATTCTGAGATGAAGCGGCCTAAGAGCAGCGGCAGCGGCTCCAGCTCGTCTTCCTCTCGCGGTCAGAAAGACTCGTTACCCAGCGCTCTTACTGCCAAACGCACACCCCAATCCCGGACGCTGGCGTCTGATGCACACTCGGACAACAAGATAAAGCGCTTCTGCAACACGTACAACATCCTCAGCACGTCAGGCCTGCTGGACATCACGCTGCGCACGAAAGAGTTGATCCGGCAGAACCGGCGGACGCAGACGGAGCTGGATCGCCTGCGCGAGCACACCAGCCTGTTCATGGAAGCGCTGCAGACGGGAGACTCGGCCATCTGGAGCCAGCTGCGGACGAGCGTGCAAGAGGAGGACAAAGAGAAAGACAGGACTGTCAACCTGAAGTGAGACGAAGACACGATGCAGTTATACATGCAACTTTTGTCTGACTATATCTTAAGGTGTGCGTTCACTCTTTAACAAGCCTTAACCATAAGCTCTTTACACTCCTGCTGTCATTTTCAGCTCTTGAATTTTCAGGACTCTCGAACTGAAACGTTAACGTCAGGCCTCGTTTGTAAAGCACAAGAGCAGATTCTGTCTCAAAACGAGCTGCAGATCTACAGTAGATAGAGAGACGCAGATCGAGGATGTGGCACAGCGGTCTCGTTTCTTTTCTCACAGCAGTAATTATGAGAGATGGATCATTACAGACCGTCTGTTCGCATCGTCTGCTCCACGATCCTCCATCATGGTTCTGTGATTTTATGAAGTCGCGTAGGATCTTGTGCTTAAAAAACACAAACGTCAGAATGAATCAGGTTTTTCAGAGATGCACAGCTCACAGGTGACCCTGCAGCACAAAAGCAGTGTTGAGTCGCTGGGGGATATTTGTAGCAATAGCCAACAATACATTGTATGGGTCAAAATTATACATTTCTCTTTTATGCCAAAAATCATTAGGATATTAAGTAAAGATCATGTTCCATGAAGATATTTTGTAAATGTCCTACCGTAAATATATCAAAACTTAATGTTTGATTAGTAATATGCATTGCTAAGAACTTCATTTGAACAACTTTAAAGATGATTTTCTCAATATTTAGATTTCATGTGCTGATACAAGCATTAGAGGAAGGTCTTCTGAAAGTGTTTTCAAGCGTGTTCATGTGATGTTATTCGGTGGAAAGATAGAAATGTTAACTCGCAATTCTGAGATGAATCGTGAGATAAAAACCTTTTTATTTTTTAAATCCATGGCTATAGTTGCCTCGTAAGCTTATTTTGTATAAACGGGCGGCTAGAAAAGCTTTTGTAGGCCGGCAGTTTTGATAAAGCTTTCTAGGACGGTCTCATCAGATTTGATTCAGAAGCAGAAACAGAGCAGACGTGTGTCTTTGTGTCGCTCTTATTACTGATAGCTGTTATTACTGATGCCGGTTTGTGTATAAATTGTGTTCGTTTTTGTATTTTTCTGTGCTGTTGGTTTGATAATCCTCAGTAGCACTTACTGTACATACAGTACATCGCTCTTCAGTTCATCTGTTGAACAGGAGATGAAGAAACGTTCCTCAGCTGTACGAAACCAAACCACTTTATCCAGGCTTTCTGTTTTACATTGTATTTTTCAAGCTGTTTTTTATTTCCCACTTTTTAGTTTTTAAGACACGTTTTACTGCGTACTGCTCTGTGAAATGTTTTCATTTATGTCATAAAGTTATTAAAATCATTCTAATTGTCAAATGTGTCCCTGGATCTCGTCCTCAGCAAATAATATAAATGCACGAATATAATACAAGTATAAATAAAGTCAAGTACTTCTGTTTAAAACTAAAAATGTAATTACTAAATAAAGTAAACATTAAGTGAAACATAAAGAAAGGCAACATTTCGTCTATTCGTGTACTTTTAACTTGGTGTATTAAAATAAACTAAACCTATATATATATATATATAAACTAAAATGTGTGTAGGCATATTAAAACAAACTTTTTTTAAACGAATAAAAATGGCAAAAATATAATCGCTAAATTGATACTAAAATTAAAATAACATTAATATTAACTTAGTAACATTGCACTGTAAGTAGAACAACAACAACAGTATTTAAAAAATAATAATATTGTAAAATGATTATGTGCTTTGATATTTTGCATTGTAAATATATTGTTTTCTGGTTATCAGAGATGGGCACAAATGCATCAGAAAGCTTTAGTTGCAAATTAAACTCATCAAATTTAAATTACAGTACAAAACACTGGTGTAAGTGTTACAGGGATACAGTTTTTTGAACCGATTCTTTCAAAAAGAATCGGTTCAAATGAATCAGAATGGAGCCGGAAGAATCTCCCGATTCTTGTTCATTTGAACCGATTCCTTTAACGACTCGGTGAACTGATTCACAACGCGTGTGGCTCAGTGAGAAGCAGCTAAACCGCGACCCGGAAGTGCTCGTGGTCCGTCTTTGTGTTTGTGTTTAGCTTGCTGTCAAACATCAGCGGCTCCAAAGCACCGTGATGGAGGTAACTAGCGCTGATCGAGATGAATGCACACGAACACCACGGGCTTGATGTTATGAGCGTGACAGGAAGTCAGCAGAATGTTGGAGGTTTGATTTCCGGTTAAAGCTGTGCCTCACTAATATCAATATCAACAAAACCTATCAGGGATAAACAGTGCGACTTGGTTGGTCAGAGCCGTGTGAATGATTTAAAAGCATGTCAATGTAATTTCTGTGCTATTTATTAATATTAATAAGTATATGCAAATGCTTGCCTCATAATAATTTAATATGCGATTAATAGGTGACTTTGACTGGATTTGTTCAGCACATTTCGATCTCATGTGTTTTTATTTTAACTACTGTGTGTTTTGTGAAACGTGCTCATTAATATGTAAATGCACTCATTAATATGTAAATGCGCTCATGATGTAATTCAGGCTTTATTTCTGTGTGTCAGTGATGTGTGAGCGCAGATGATGGAGGAACGCTTCTCTCTCTGAGCCAGAGCCGCATGAACCCGCCTGAACCTGGTCAGACTGAGCTTAATAAAGAATTACATGATCATTAATATTCAGTGCTGTGTTGCTGCGCTCATTGTATATTCATGTGTTCTCTCTCAGGTTACATTCGGCTGAATCCATGCTTTCTGATGAACTTGACTCCAAGCCTGAGGTATTTTGCAGTGTGAGGAGGTTACAGATCCGCGTATGGTGTTTTTAATTACTTTAAATTGCAATTGTGATTTAAAATGCAATTAAAAAAAAAATCCAGGTTGTCTGTGTTTGTAGGGCTGCACAGTTTGGCCAAAAGTTGTGATTATATTTACATTTAGTCATTTAGCAGACGCTTTTATCCAAAGCGCCTTACAACTGGGGAATACATCAAGCGATTCTTCTTAAAGAGGCAAATACACACCGGAAGTGCTCGTCATACCACGTTTCAAGCATTGTTTAGATAAGTACAAGCTAGAAAGGGAAGGAATAAATAAAGAGAAAGACAAAGTTTTTTTATTTTTTATGATGAAGTCTAGTAGTGTTGAAAGAGATGAGTTTTCAGCTGTCGCTTGAAAATTGTCAGGGATTCAGCGTTCCGGATAGGGGTGGGAAGATCGTTCCAGCAGCCAGGAGTGGTGAACGAGAATGTTCTGGAAAGTGATTTTGAGCCTCTCTGTGATGGTACCACGAGGCGTCGCTCACTAGCGGATCTCAGACTTCTGAAGGGGATGTAAATTCGTAGTAGTGAGTGGAAGTAGGCGGGTGCTGAGCCTGTGGCTGTTCTATATGCAAGCATCAATGTCTTGAACTTGATTCG